GGCAGGACGCAAGGGCTGCAGGCGGGAGCAGCGTAGGGTCTGCCAAAGGTGCAGAGGCCCCCCGAGCCCTGCGTGGCCCCGGCCCCGTAGAGGCCCCCCAGCCCCAGGGAGCCCCCAAAGGCGGGGGCTCCGGACGAGCCCACCACGGCTTGCTGGGGGAAGGAGCTGAGGATGGGGCCGGGGAAGGTGACCACCACGGGGGGCGGCTGGATGAAGGCCGTGGAGTCGGGGCACTGGCGGGCGCACAGCTCGTTGCAGCTCTCGGCGATGGGCTGCGGGACGGCCACGCTGGTCTTTGGTGGGCACAGGTCGTAGCAAGACATCTTGCAGGGTTGGAGATTGGTTAGCAACAGGTAGAGATGGAAAAGGCTAAAAAAAAGGCAGAAGATTTATGAGATAAATCTCATAATGCTTATAGGAGTGATATTGCTATGTTGTTCTTTCCTGTGCTATAGTGTATGCTTTTTGTCAGGTTTGATGAACTTGATTAACGCTAGCTGAGCACCTAGAGGCAATTATTCTGACTGTATAAAGTCCACCCCAGGAATGACCAGACCCCCCAGATGGATCTTTCTTCTGGTCTTGCATGGATGTGTCTTAGAGTTCATGCAAACACATGTCCTGAAGAACAATTTAAGAACCTCAGTGTCATCTACCACAGAGTTCCCTGAAGTGGGAAAGCGGACCCTTGTACATTTATAGCAGAATCTTATATGTTTATCTAAAATTTTATGAAATATTAAAATAATTATCTGAAATAACAGTGTTTTCATCAGTGATTTTTAAGCTTCTATTTGGCTCAGAACACTCAGTTTTTCAGGGTTTCTGCACTCACACCCAGTCAAACCCCAAACTCAAACCCTGCATTTCCCACTGTTTTCCCTAAGAGCAGTTACAGACAGAGACAATCTAATGCTGCTCAAAATCTAAGCGTACCTATATGAATCTTCTTTACCTACTCTGATAGAGGTTCCAATTAAGAATATAGAAAGAAATAAAAAAAACCCATACTCACTAAGCTCAGCAAGGCGAATGAGCCAAAGGAAGTGTCTGGATGAACTCAGGGGCTGCAGCTTATATAGGGTTTCTCGGCCTTCCGACGGGATTTGAAACTTGCTTGGTGCTGGGGGTTGCGTTTGGCTGACTAACAGCTTTGAGTGATGAAAGTTGTGTGTTTATCATGGTTGTGATTTTTATTCAAATTCTCACACTGTGTGATGTCCATGTTACACCATCCTGATTTCTTTAATCTTGGGTCTTAATTGGCTAGTGTAATTCCTGGTATCATTATAGTGACCTCACTGGAATTACCACGTGCATTAAGCTGACTGCACATGTTACTTCTCCCTTTACAAAGTTGTCATAAGTTTGTCTGCTCAGAGGTTTTGTAAGACTCATCTTTGGCTGACATGTACATTTTTCCTTAACAGCCCTTTGAATTTATCTGGTAAATTAATTGGAGAGAGAACACAGCTTATCCTAGGACTACCCAGGAATTTGTCTTTTCCATCCCTAACTTAGACAGACCTCGTTGACCTAAGGTGGGTTTCAAGTGGTCATGAATATGAGCTGGGATTGTACAATAAGCATGACAATTCCCCAACAGCTTTCCATTGAGAGGAACAGTCTTTTGAGTCGCAACTCAATCCTACGTGAAAATCATTTTGTTTCATTAGAAGAGTTGAAATGGGAATTGAAATTCACCTTTAAAGGGGTCCACAGTTGTGCTGACAGTGATTTGAGCTAGGAAGTCAAAGAAATCACCATCCAGAAACATATGAAGTCCCACCCCTGCCCATGATCCACCAAACCAGGTAACAATTTTGAGGAAAAATCAAAGCAGCAGATAAAGGGATTTTGTTAGATGTTGCGGGCGTTAACTCTTATCAAGTATGTTCTGAGGCTTCTGGAGAAAAAAGTGCTTTGTAATGATATCAGAGACATTCATTAGTTGGTGTTCAACCCAGCTAATGTCTGGTGTTGTGCTAATGTATGAAAATGTGTGAGTGATTTAGACACCTCTGTGTTACACAATCACAAATGCTTTAATGTGCAGGAAACAAGGTGGTGCATGCCATTAATTTAATTAGATCATGGTTGTGCCACTGGAAGTCATGGGTCAATGTTAATGTAGCTCTTCTTTTTTTTTTTTCATTAAAAAATCCTTTCAACATTCTTGATCAAATCCTCTGTTAGTATAAACTGTCACACTTGCTGTATGCCAGGTGAAAATATGTCATTATTTAAAACTATACTTCCCAGGAAAAATTATAGGTATGTTTGTGATTATTTACCCTTTTTTTGTGCTTTTTCAGAGGACTGTCAGTATCTTTTATTCCAAATTTTAGGTTTTTACCTGCGTCCAAGGCATTTTACAGCCCGTTTTCTTTGTCATCCCTGAGAACACCCTCAGAACTGAAATACCTCATCTTAATCCCTGCAGTGCCTAAGGTAAATGTTTCTTCTTGTAATATAGCTTCACTCTGATATTTTCCTTTTCTCTTCAGGTGACAAAGGAATTGTGTTTAGGTTTCTGGGTTGGTTTTTTTTTTTTGTTTGGTCCCCCCCCAAGGTATTGTTGCAGGTTGGGAGGAGTTGTGTCTGGGGAGACAATCGGAAACAACAGCTGGCTAAAGTGACTGTTTCCCCCAACAAAACTGCCCTACGTTTATTTCAAGGGAAGAAAAAAGACACTCTCCAGGAATAGAAAGTGAATTACTGCAGTCCACATCTCCCAGCTTGGGGGTGACTTCTTTGCCTAGATTTACGTTTTACCACAAAGTCTGCAAGTCAGGGCAAGTTGTGGCTCATTACTCTGTCTCGGGGCAACAAACCCTTTCCACATCAAAGTCCTCTATTTCCTCTCTCCGCTTGGTAGCGTTACTTTGTACTTAATAACATTGTGATTTAAATGCTCTCCAAATTACAAAATGTCTTTTGGGGGTTCCCGTGGGAAAAAAAGTGCTTACTGCAGATTTTCTCAAGCAACTTGGGAACAAAAGATATCAGAGCACTTCAGAAACACTGACTAATGATTTATGCATGCTGTTTTGTTGTTATAATGTGACTGGCACATCCCAATGGTGAGTAAGAGCATCAGTCTAAACTGGGAGACACTGTCAGTCCTGTCACTCCACTAATCAGACCCTGCTTCGTAGCCGCTGGGACTGGCCACCTCTGTCCCTGCCCTGCTTTCCCTTTTGTGTCACCCAGGGCAGTCTGCTCCATTCAGAGTGTCTACAGCTGTCTCCAGCAGGAGCCTAGTGAATTCGATAAAAACTTTCTATTCTTTCTGGTGTCTCTTGAGAAATTTAAGTAGACAGAAAGGGTGAACTTGAAAAGCTGGATGTTAAAGAGAGGAAATTAAGAGAGTTGAAAGGTGATATTTTCAAAATTAATCATCACTTCTTCATTTTAAATGGGAGACGGGAGTATTCCACTGGTCTGGAAGTGTCTCAATGTGCCTCTTAAAACTAAAGGAAGTGTGACAAAATTTATCATAGGAGAGAATTTAGAATGTATTTTCATGGAAGAGAAAGAAAGTGATGGTTTTATACCGTAACAGTAACAACATCAACCAGGGAAAATTCATTATGTCTTTTAAAATACATTGATAATCATATCATAGAATTGTGAGATTTCCACCTCCCCTACTCTGGGCAGGGACACCTTCCCCCCAGCCCAGGT